GATAATTTTTTAATCGCTCAATTCCATGACAGCTACCGCCATTATTATATGACATTTGAACAATTTAATTTTTGTAATAGATCGCCACATGTCTTTTCTTTATGTTGTAATAGAATAATATCAAGCTCTGTAAAATTTTATCTTTTTGGTTTGTTATTCTAAGATGGGACCATTTCAGTTTACGAAGTTATCAGTTGACATAGGCAAACGAATTTTAAAAAGCCTAAGCAAATAATCTAATGATATTCAAGACACATAAACTCTCTAAAAGTACGCATATATCCTGAGAAACTAAGCAAATAATACAATCTTCTAAATAATTTAAAGTCACATAAACGAGGGTAAAGTAGAACAAACATTCATCCCTTATTATCAAAACTCTATTTGACAGAGTGGTACCAGTTGTGTACCCTAGGGATATCTCAAAATAAACAACGCAGAAAAAGCACGTAGGCATGCTTAAGGAAATAAGTAAAATTAAATCATCCCCTCGCTAGAGGTTTTAAATTGAAAATTAAAAGTATTAAATATATGTTTTAAAATCAGAATCCAAATGTTCACGAGATGAATGTCTGAAAATGATAGAAATAGGATTATCTTTTTTCCGTTCCTAGAGTTAAATAGAAATAGACAAATGAATGAAGAAATAAAGATTTCATTTCTAGGCGGTTTTTTTAAGGTAATCCTATGTCACGATATCATTTGTATTAGTTAAGGTAGATTATGAATGTTTTTCAGCAAATTGGTAAAAGAGTAAGATTTACACGGAAGGGTTTAAAAATTACATTTAATTAATAAATAGGACATGCTGATGCCCTCTCGCGACAAGGACCAGAAACAAGGGTGAAAGAAGTCTAGGGATCTTTCGGGGAAGGAGTCCTTCGGCCAATTAAAAAGGTGCGAAATATGCATTTGGATGGGTATTCGAAGGTTCCTCAAACAGGGGCGTGCCGAAGATGTAGTAACGCCTGTCCGAGATAGTACCAGCATCAGTATTTTCATCTTCAAAATTAGTTCGGTACTGACTTTTAAATTAGACGGTCGAATTTACTCCGTGTAGATCTTATAAATATTATCCAGTGGTTTTTTTAATTGTTTTAGTAAGTTCTCTATCTAAAGATTTTCTCAAATAAATTCTCAAGTTAGGAAATTCTAAACTATTCATGCTTACAGTATTTTAATTGTTGTTTTTGGATTTTCTCTAATATTTTTCTTTATTAATAATTTAAGACTTTCTGTTTGTTCTAAAGGCTTTAGTAAATTTTAGTTGTCATTGCATAAGTGATTATTTTGCAATTGTTCTTTTTATTAAATTCTAATTTAAATTTAATTGTTCAGTGAATATTTTTGTAATATATTAATTTTCTGCCAATGATAATTCTAAGAGAGATTTGAAAGTGTATGCTAATTGTTGGTAATTTAAATTGGACTAATAAGAAGAATATTTTGTATTTTTTTTTAACTTTATTATCTCTGAGTTTTAATTTCAATTCTCTAATTGTCATTAATTATTTTTGATTCAATTTCTTTCTTTTTCATTAATTATAAATGTTTTGTTGTTAAATCTTTTTCTCGATTTTTTATTTATTTATTTCTTTATATTAAATATAGTTAGGTGTTGTGAAAAATCGGCATTTTATTTCTTTATTTCACCTAATCACTAAAATATTAAGTTATTTAAAAGAACACTGTGATAACCGGTCGAGTGGTTCAATCTTAAGAATGAGTCCAAGATCGAAGGGGTAGATCTACAAGGGGATCAACGAAGTCTTCGACAGGTTCTTGTTGTTGATGTATTGCTGATGGATGTTGACGTAATAAGGTAAGTGGCAATAGAGTTTATAGTAACTGAATTTAGAAAGAGCCCTTACCATAAAAGTGCGATGCCTTAATTTCGATCTTTAGCTGGTTATATTTTGTTTTTATGTGTAAACGATAAACTATATTTACGCTCTGAAAAGTCGGTGTTCTCATTATCCAAGTTCTGCCTACCGCTCAATAAATTATTTTAATTATAATTATATAAAGGCCACACTACCATGTTAACGGACAAATCTGGAAAGTTTTGTCACAATGTCACAGGGGCTGTGATAATCACTAAATTTGACTTTTAGGCTGTACAAATTTTTTTGACAGATAGTTTTTTTGGTCCAAAAATTTTAAATATTTTTTTCTTAAAAATGCTTCCAGGGAAATACCGCGACAAAATATTGCGATTTTGTAAGTCCTCCAAGATCCGAGGGGCCCCTTCGCTGTCTCAGGCCCGTGGCCCCCGTTATTCTAAAGACTTCACTGCTCATCATCAGTGATGAAGCTAGAATACAAGTTATGCTGTGCACGGGTTGTAATTTAAAATGTTTATTCAGTAAAAATAAATAATGAAACAAAGAAAATTGATTTAATTAACTAAACAGAAAATGCCATTGACAATTACTGGGGCCTGATAATTGATAATTAAGTAAATATCTGCTTCGATTTATACTGTTTATAGTTGGCGTATACGTATGGTTTGCATACTCCACCTACAAACTGCTTTATAACTACTGAACAAATATTGGCCTTGTTTGCCAGTCGAATAAAAAATTACTTATTAAGATTCGGAAGCCCCCTAAAAGACGGGGCCCGGGGCAGACCGCCCCTTCCGCCACCCCCCCTTAGTCCGCCACTGCGAATATCTTCAACAAAAATAAAGCTATTGAAATGAACCAAAAAACAAACTACGTACATAGGTACGTCTATATCTACCAAACCAAACCAAACCAAACCTTATCATCGTTACATGGCTAATTTTTCTTGTGAAGTATCCTTTTATGTAGCCATTATGAAATAGTCAGGTCTGCCAGCGCTATCCCGGGGGTTAAAGCGGGGGCGACCAATCGAAAGGGTGAAATTTTGACACACAAAGAAATTGATTTATTTTTAAATAATTTTGCGAGCCACCTGTTTGTTTTCTGTATTTGCATCCATGCGTTAAAAATTTGCGGTAAAATATACAGGAAAATTTTTTTTTGCGAAAAAAAACCCTCATAGGCGTGTTCCTGGGGTCGAAATATATATAACCCCTAAAAAGTATATGCACTTATTTATGCACCCTGTATAAGCGTTTTCCGGAAACGCTGGCCGCCTTATCAATTGAAACAAAATACATGTAGACTACAAAAATTTACGGTGCAGATATCGACTCAGAGGAAGACTCGTTTGCGAGAGCGACGAGTACGAGTCAGATACAAATAGTGAGACAGAATAATAAATGTACTATATATGTTATTAAAATCATAAAAAAAATATATTTATAATAATATAATCGTATACATGATTTATTTATACTGCTTTAGCTACGATCTTTTTGTCTGCCCTTTTGTATACGGCTTTTAAAATAAATAAATGATATTTTACCAATCGGCATGCATGTATGGCATGATTTTTTTTCAAAATTTTATGCCTCTTTCGCGTTGTCTGCCGACATTTTAGCGACGAGAAAATTGTTTTTTTATGTAGCTAGCTCTTAGACTACTGAGATGATGAGGTGATTTTTAAATTTCTTGCTAGCTTAACATATTGCAGAAAATTGCTGCGAAACTCATCAAAATCGGTCCACTAGAACACAGTACCACAATTACCTATAACAGATGCGAAAGAAAGCATCGGAAACCGCTCGGCAAACCCCACACGCCTATTGAGTGGTGTATATACACCAGTCGTTTAGTCCGGAAACCTATGCTGTGTCGTATTCGCTTGCTGGAATGACATAGTGCGTGGTTATATGTTTTTTTTTAAAAACGGGTGTAGGATTTTTGTTGAACTTTTGAACTGTTATTTCTAAGTTTTGGTAATTTGTATATCTTATTTAAAATGGGATACAAATATCAATATCAAGTTTATTTATAGGAAAAAAAAGATATTTATAGTATAAAAAATTAATTTATTTAACAAAATTTAATTAAAAATGTGACAAAATAGTACTTTTCTATTGGTTCTATTGGACTTTTTTCGACTATATAAATCTTTATTTGTAAACTTTAATACATCAAATATTTTCAATCTAATAAATCATTTAATGATGTAAATAAGAGGAAATTTCTCACATGGGTGGTCAAATTCTATAGTTTTCATTATATCAAACAGCCTCTGAGAAATGTTTTCAACTCAAAATGCCTTTAATTATGTTTGACAACATCAATTAAAAGGGTCTTCAAATACATCAATGTGATATTTGCCTAAAATTTGCAAAAGAATCCGAATCTCTGGATAACTCGAAATTATTTACCCATTTAAAAGCGTTTGATCATGAAAGTAGAAAAATTTGTTCATTTTATTTACTGGAAATTGAAAAATTATTTATATTAAATTTTGATGAGTTTTGCACTGAAGAAAACATTCAGAGGCTGTTTGATATAATGAAAACTATAGAATTTGACCACCCATGTGAAAAATTTCCTCTTATTTACATCATTAAATTATTTATTAGATTGAAAATATTTTATGCATTAAAGTTTACAAAAAATAAAGATTTATATAGTCGAAAAAAGTCCGATAGAACCAATAGAAAAGTAACTATTCTGTCACATCTTTAATTAAATTTTGTTAAATAAATTAATTTTTTATACTATAAATATCTTTTTTTTTCCTAATCTCCTACGAACTGATATAATATAACGAGCAATCTATTAAATTACTGTGAGATTATATGCCTCGATAACATATTGGTGCAGATTATTTTCACCCAAACAAATAATAACCCAAACTATACATTGATGCGGATTGTCTATGAACTCTTTCTGAAGGTCACAGAAACCTGAAGGCGTAATTCGGTGTTCTTTCGCATCTGTTGTAGTTAATTTGTGATAGTACATAAAACTTTAAAGTCATTCAACATTTTAAGGTGCCCTTTTTTCGTACCGGTGAGTGTAGTTTCCGAGATACCAATTATGAAGCTCGAATTTGAGACACCCTTTACCCCCATAAGAATAGGAGTAAATATAATACTAATTGGTACTTACCGAAGAGAAATCCATCACTTTCAAAACCCACAAAGTTAAGGCTAAGTTAACTATTACCATAAACAGCAGCACTAGAATAAGTGCGTATAAACATTTTTTCCTCCATCCGTAAATGCCCATGTGAATACCCTGATGACATCGGGTGGAATTTATACTTCTCGAAACTTCTTCCTCCTGATTTGTCGATGCAGGGTTCGTTTCGGATTCATTTCTCTTCATTCTGGAAAGAAAAACGAAAAATAATTTATCTTCGAAAAATGTTTTCAATAAGAGATTTTTATAAGGATTATTTTGTTTCAATTATGGCTGTCAAGGAATGAGAAAAAGAAGGAAAAAAAAGCTGTCGAATTCATTAGCAGTTCATTTGCCTAAAATAATATGGTCTGGTAATATTACTACTAATTATCTTTAAAAAACTCACAAGGGAACAACAGAAAAATACATGCTTCATTTAGAAATGTGTAATAATTACTTTTATTAAAAAAAAAAATATGCGATAATTGTTTTGAGTAGTGTATTTTTTAAATTGATTTTTTAAACTAGTACCTAGAAAATAATTTTAAAACTAATAATATTCAAAAATACAGGGTCCGGCAATAGTGCGTCGGGCATCTGTAGCTCCTACAATAAAAAACTTAAAATTTTTTTTAAGTGCCAATCTAAAGTATGTTCTAGGATCTGTTCCAGGAAAATATTTAACTTCTATAGGGTGGCTCAAAAATGTGTGAGCGGATCGGGATTATGGCTTCTTTTCAGCTCACTTTACATAATCCTAAGATATGAGTAAATATAGCCTAAGAGCTGACGACATATTTAGAAAACATATTTTAGGCAAGCTAGAATAACTTAAAATGTATAGTTTATTAACTGGTGAACCCAGAATCCTAAGTCTGGCTGGGTGGTTGGGGGTATTTCGCTACTGCGCAATTCCTAACATTTGCAAAAAATAAATCCAAAAAACATTCTTTAGGCAACTTGAAATTTATTCTTAAATTTTAGCATCTATTTAACCTAGAAATAAGAATGCCAGACTTTTTTTTCGGGTTTAAAGTGTAACCAGACCATTCCAAATATGTTTAATTATTATACCTAGAAAACATACTTTAGGCATTCTAAAAGTTTTACAACGTGTTCATTAGATGATATTAAAAAATATGTGTTAATTGCCAGACGAATTCAATGGGATTTAATACTTGCCAGACGCGAATAAATATTTTAAATGAGCGCGATAAGAAAGTCATATGAGTATCTATAAGCCCGAGAAAGATAGTTTATTGAGACCCGGTCGGCAGCCGATGCGGCTGACGTAACAGCATTTTGGAGTCGTAAAAACTTAGAAAAAACTTAATAATATTGAATAAATAAAAAGAAACATTTTTTAATAAAAATGTATGATTGAAATCCTTTCAATAAGAAGACTTTTTAATTTAAGTATTTTGTATCTGAAAGAATAAGAAGACGAATAATTATTTAAAAATTAGCATAATATAAAAAATATTTTTTTCAAACGTCACAAAAGTATAATTATTATTATACTTTTGTGACATATTATATTATTATTAATTTTTGCGACCCGATTGACAATATAAAAAGTATTTTAACGCCTAAGCATAAAAGTAAAGCACTTCTACTTACTTTTGAATCTATTTAGAAAGATTAACAATGGTACTTTAATAAAATTCCAGAATACTTATTTTTTTAGCACTATACATGGTACCCTTTTGTCGGGACTACGTTTTCTGGTAAAACCACTTGTTTATATTTTTAGCCATGTTGTTGGCGCACTTTTAAAAATTCTTTGCATTTTTGCAATCTGCCTTCATCAAAAACAATAACTTTGTCACTAGTAACTTTTTCACAAACTACACAACTTAAATGGCTTTTACCCATTGTGATTTAGTTAGTAGCGAAATTAGTAGTTACTAAAATATCTATTTGTACCACTTAACTCCAACAAAATAATCAAAATAATCTATGAAATAAAAGCCTGCAAATAATTGAAATGAAACTTGTTTAAAAAATTGTTTTTATGAAAATTTGAAGTACTCCAAAATACCGTTACGTCAGCCGCATCGGCTGCCGACCGGGTCTCAATAAACTATCTTTCTCGCGCTTATAGATACTCATAAGACTTTCTTATCGCGCTCATTTAAAATCTTTATTCGCGTCTGGCAAGTATTAAATCCCATTGAATTCGTCTGGCAATTAACACATATTTTTTAATATCATCTAATGAACACGCTGTAAAAATTTTAGAATGCCTAAAGTATGTTTTCTAGGTATAATAATTAAACATATTTGGAATGGTCTGGTTACACTTTAAACCCGAAAAAAAAGTCTGGCATACTTATTTCTAGGTTAAATAGATGTTAAAATTTAAGAATAAACAAATTTCAAGTTGCCTAAAGAATGTTTTTTGGATTTATTTTTTTGCAAATGTTAGGGGTTGCGCAGTAGCGAAATACCCCCAAACCCCAGCCAGACTTAGGATTCTGGGTTCACCAGTTAATAAACTATACATTTTAAGTTATTCTAGCTTGCCTAAAATATGTTCTCTAAATATGTCGTCAGCTCTTAGGCTAATATATTTCGACAGTTTCAGAGATATTAATAAATAAATAAAAAATATATATTTTTCAGCCTTCTTAAAAAAATATTAAAAATACAAGAACTGTCCTGAAATCAAAACTATATTATATATTTACTTTAGATGGTCTGCACTTACTTTGCTATAAATATGGTAATCGTATATCATACAGGATGTTTAAAATTTTACGCCAAACTTTCTAAAATATAAAATAATTTTTCTCCGTTTTTTTTTTAAATGGAACACCCTGTATATTATGTTTTCAATAGATGAAAAATTAAAAAATGAACATTTTTTGCATTTAGAGTATTTGAAAATTATTAACGGTTTCGCAGATATTCGCGGTTTTATATTTCATATATGGCATTTTCTATATTTTCTAAAGTTTGGAGTAGAATTTTGAACATCCTGTATGATTTAAGATTTCGATATTTATAGCAAATTTAAGTACATACCATCTAAAGTAAATACCTAATATAGTTTTGATTTCAGGACAGTTCTTGTATTTGTAATATATTTTTTTAATGAAGGTTGAAAAATATAATTTTTTTATTTATTAATATCTCTGAAACTATCGAAATATATTTATTCAGATCTTAGGATTATGTATAGTGATCTGAAAGGAAGCCAATAATGCAATAATATACAGGGTGTTCCATTTAAAAAAAATCATACCGATCCACTCACACTTTTTTGAGCCACTCTATAGAAGTTAAAATATTTTCCTGAAATACATTCTCGTACATGCTTTAGGTTTACACTTAAACAAAATTTCCAAGTTTTTTTATTCTAGGAGCTACAGAAGCCCGACGCACTATTGCCGGACCCTGTATAATAAATTACAGGCAATAATTTTTATTTGTGTAATGTAATGCAAATACAAATAAAAATATCATAAAATAACATAAAATATATAAAATATATAAATAAAAAACCTAAATCACTCTGTATAGGATACAAGAATCGGTAGTCTTATTTCGAAAACCGTACCTAAAAGTTTGTTGAATGTTGTCTTCTATTTCAATATAGAGTACATATCGTCTGTTGTCGCCAACTTTGACATTTCCATTATAGTTTTCGCAATGGAAAAGAATGAAGGCAAGCAACGGTGTTGCCAAAAGTATCGGCAAACATAAATGAAGATAAAGTTTTCGTTGAGAGGTCAATCATTGTGGTAATAATTTCCGTTTCTTTCTGCCTTTTTTTTGCTGACATGTCATGTCCAATCGCTTTAGGTATCATGTAATTTAATTTTAATCATTAAGATGAAATAGACTGAAGATCATAAAGTTTACTTATTATCTGCAAATATTTTTTAAAAATTGTGAATTTATTGAATTTTTAAAAATTATGAATAATTGAAAAATATGCCGTTATACTTTGCGAATAAAGAAAATATGAAGTAATTGAGTATTATATTTTATTTAAATTGCTATAACAAATTAATTAATCTCAATAATGTCAAAAGTTCGTAATATTATACAAATACTAATATTTATATAATAATAAATAATATTTAAATCGTATTACTTTAGCAATTAAATTATAATATACACTTTACTATTTTTAATGTTTTTTATAAAAAAATTGTCAATTAACATTTTTAATTATATTATTCGCGATAACAAAGTTGGGTTATGTTTTAATTAAAAAAATCTGAAATATATATTTAATAACTTAATTATTTATTAATTAAGTTATATGTATATATATAATTATAGCTATATAATTAATAATACGCTAATAATTATAAGAGGATTTTTTAAAACTGTAATAGATTCACCATTTTGTCAAGAAGTATTTATAAAAAACATTTTTTTTTAAACATCAGAAATGGATTAAATGAAATATCAATTTAAATATTTTATGTTAACAAAGTAAGCGGATAAGTGTTAATATTAATGCCTCTAAAAGTTAATTAGTCAAATAAAACTGATCTAAAATAAAATAAATAAAAAATAAATACTAAGTATATGTGAATCAGATACAATTTAATTATGTAAAAAATATGATTCTAAAGGTTTCCGCTTGTAAAAATATGTCACGGCTATAGGTATTAAAAAAATTGGTGAAATTTTGTTTACCTGAAATCACTTTTTAAAATTTACTCTTTATTTTCACAAAATTTGAAATATGTCAAAATCCTTAGATTTTAAGTCGGTGAAATGTGATACACTGTTAACTCCATTATTCCTAATTTTACAGGTACAAAAAAATATGTACACATGTAGGAAGTATTTTCCTGCGTTAATATGATAAAGAGATAAGAATTTTATTCGCTGGGGAACAATATAACTCAATATTTCATGTTACATCATTTTTTTCAGACACAATAGGGAGATAGCAGATATTCGTCTTGCAGAAATAAGAAATAAAAATATACTTCTAGAGATAGCAACCCTTATTGTTTGAAATTTTGAAAATGGAATTGAATATTACCCAAACAGATTTATAAATAATCAATTAAATTTAAAAAATATGATATTCATAACCATATATTTATTTATAATATTATTATTTATAATATAAGTCCAAAAACGAATAAATTTTTAATGCATTTTTAAAGAACCGAAGTAGCAGCATTTTGGACTTAATGAACATGAAAATAATTTAAAAATTAAACTTATAATTCT